CCCCGCCCCGGGAACGGTGACTCACCAGGGCGTGGATCCGCGTCCCGCAGCCGCCGCGGTGCAGCCCCAGCCCTCCCCCCGCAGCCGGCAGAGGCACAGCCCCAGCGCCGCGCACTCATTGTTCCGCCAGCTCCAGGCGCTATGGACGAGATAGACCAGTCGCCCCTGATCTCCTCCTCCTCCTCCTCCGGGCCAGCGCGGCCGCAGCAGCCCCAGTTCAACTACCAGTTCGTGCTCGACGACGAGAAGGAGGAGGAGGAGGAGGAGGAAGAGGAGGACGAGGACGAAGACTTCGACGAGCAGCTGGAGGTGATGGAGAGGAAGCCCGCCGCGGCTCCCCCCGCAGTTCCTCAGGAGCGGCCGCCGCAGCTGCTGGATCTCGGCGGCCCCACCGAGCCGCTCCGCCCCGCCGCTCCGGAGCCACCGCAGGCCGGCTGGAGCCCCCCGGGAGCCGTCTCCTCCTCCTCCTCCTCCTCCGCCGCCACTACGCCGTCCCCCGTGCAGGACCAGCTGTCGGCCCCCGCTCGGCCCGCTCAGCCCCAGCCGCTCAAGCCCGAGCCGGCCGCCGCCGCCGCACCCCGGAGAAGAGGGTCCTCCTCCGGCTCGGCTGGTGAGTGCCTCCGCCCCGGGGGGCCGAGCGGGGGCTGGGGGCAGCGGTCTTCCCAGCCAGGCGCCTCCGCCCGAATCGCTCCGGTGCTGGCTCATCGCTGCCCCGCCGGGCGGTTCCCTTTGTCTGCCGGCCCTCGGCCGGCTTCTGCGGCATCGCTCCCTCCCCTCAGCCGCGCCGGGGCGCGGCCCCCGCTCCCCGCGGCAGCTCATGCGGGAAAAAGGGCTCCCCATCCATCTATTTTCTATTTTTATTTTTTTTTTTTAAAAAATTTGATCTGTTTCCTTCCTCCTCCCCTTTGTGGTATGCTAATGGCGGGAGGGGTGAGGCGCCGCCTCGCACGTGGGCCGCCGCCTGGCAACGGCCGCGTCGCGGGGTGGGGGGGGCGCGAGCCTGAGGTAACGGCAGCGGGCGCGGGCCGCCCCTTTCTCCCCCTTCCCACCCCGGCACGAAGCCCCCCTGAGGCGTAGCTGAGGCTTCCCTCCCCCCGACTGCGCTGTCCAGGGCACGGCTCGCCCGCCGGGGCGGACCGACGCTGCGGGCTCCGGGGCTGGGCGTTGAGGGCGCCGGGCAGCCCTGCGGCGGGAGGCCCTGGGAGCGCGGGGGAGGAGGAGGGGAAATACAGATGCCTGTAATCTTACTCATTTTTAAACAAATCGCCTCTCTGGGAGGGGCGCGGGAGAGGAGTTGAGGAGCGGTGGCTGTTGCCTTTCTTGGACCCGGCTGGCGAGGCAGGGAGCCCGGCGGCAGGCCGAGGTGGATTTGCGGGCCCGGCAGAGCCCGCAGCCCTGCGGCCAGCCCCCCGCCTGTGGGGAGCGCCGCCGCCCGCCTCCGGACAGCGAGCCTGGGGCCTCGGGAGGGAGCGTTAAAATGGTGAGTGTGTGTGTGGAAGCACAAAAGGCGCCCAGGCTGCCGTAGGTGTGGCAGCGTTGGGCGAAGAATGTCAACCGCGCCTCTGTCTCCTGAGTGGCCGCAGCTAGCCACGGTGTCACCCGGGGCTTGTCAGCCCTCAGTGCTGGGCCACCTCGAGTTCCGAGCCGCGGCGGGGGAGGGAGTGCTGCCCCCCCCCCCGGGCGGTAGGCGGTGCTGCCGGAGTGTCAGACCCCTTCTCGCAAGGGTTAGCGCAGGAGCTGACCCGGCATCAGTCCTGTGTCGCATCCGGAGTGCGGTTGTGCCTTGGCTCCCCCTCTGCTTGTTGTAAAATACAGGAGTTAACGTGAAGTCATTAAACCAGTGAAAACGACCAAAGCGAGGTGCCTTATTGTTGTGATGGTGCGTTATTGTCTTCATTGCTATTTTCATATTGGTATGTTGCATATGTTTTAAAGAGGCAGGGTTTCAGTAATAACTTGGTGTCGTGGTACAAGTGAACATGACACTCAAGATTTGATTAAAAAAAACCAACATCTGGAACAATGACCAAAAAAGGCCTGTTTTTCAACCTGAATTTAATTTTTTGTGGGGCAGATTTACAGCACATGTTATTTGTATATGTGATAGGACTTCATGGTAAGTTGAGCTGTTCAGGTAGCTCTCTGTGTAGCAGCACACCGAGGAGATTATTATTTTTTTTTATTATTATTATTTATTTCCACCATTTGGAGTACAGATGATGACAAAAGCTTGCAACATATTTAAGAGGAGGGATCCTATATGATGCGTAAACAAATAACTTGCCTAGAAAAGTATTTCAGTCGATCTGTGGAAGGTTTGAGCAGAACAGAAAGGAATGAATAGAATCAACCAAATCTTTTGCTCTGAAAAGTAGGGATAAACGTATGATTTCCAGAGCCGATTTGTTTTTCTACTCCCTGACCCCTGAAGGATAAGGCAAGGAGCACAATAATTCCTGAAATATATCTTCTCTATTAGAGTAGAGGAGACCTAACCATGTGATAGTTGGGTAGTGTAGCTGAGGAGTGGTGTCAAAGAATTATTTTGTAAGGCCTAATTAGAGGGGACAGAATTTATTAGGGATGATTAATTTAGAGCTTTGAAGGGAGGATCATCGTCTTCAGGAGACTTGGTTTCCAAAGACAAGGTGTTGTAATGCATAATGCTCATCTAATGATGGGCTGGAATGTTAGAGGCTATGCCTGAAGTACTTGATACAAGAGCAAGTGTAGGGTGCTGCACCTGGGGAGAAATAACCCCCTACACCAGTAAAGGTTGGGGGTGACCTGCTGGAGAGCACCTCTGAGGACAAAGACCTGGGAGTCCTGGTGGACAATAGGATGACCGTGAGCCAGCAATGGGCCCTTGTGGCCAAGAAGGCCAATGGCATCCTGGGGGGCATCAGGAAGAGTGTGACCAGCAGGTGGAGGGAGGTCATCCTGCCCCTCTGCTCTGCCCTGGGGAGGCCCCATCTGGAGCACTGGGACCAGTGCTGGGCTCCCCAGTTCCAGAAGGACAGGGAACTGCTGGGAAGGGTACAGCAGAGGGCTGCAAAGATGATGAGGGGCCTGGAGCCGTCTCCCTTACAAGGCTGAGGGACTTGGGTCTTTTTAGTCTGGAGAAGAGAAGGCTGAGGGGGGATCTGATCAATGCTTCATTTCTTCATGGGTGGGTGTCAAGAGGATGGGGCCGGTCTTTTTTCAGTGGTGCCCAGGGATAGGACAGGAGGAAATGGGCACAAACTTGAACATAAGTTCCTCCTAAACATGAAAAAGAACTTCTTCACTTTGAGGGTGGCAGAGCCCTAGAACAGGCTGCTCAGGGAGGTGGTGGAGTCTCCTCTGGAGACATTCAAACCCCCCTGGACATGTTCCTGTGCAACCTGCTCTGGGTGGACCTGCTCTGGCAGGGGGTTGGACTAGATGATCTCCAGAGGTCCCTTCCAGGCCTGTTTCGTTCTGTGTGATACTACTAGATGAGAAGAAATTGTTTTGATGAAAGCATTGCCTAGTTTTGTCATGAATACTTTGGTCCTCTCAGATGCTTTTGAACATCAAGTATTTTTTATAGTTTTGTATCTAGCAGTTGGTGTTAACACTATCCCAGTCAAAATATTTAACTTGAGTTCAAATTAGTTCACTTTCAGTCTTGCTGTGAAATTGGCA